AGGCCGGAGAGCAGCTCCAAGCCTCGGGACCACCGCGGAGCCCGGGGAGGTCTCCGGCTGCGGCCGGCCGAGGGGACGACCAGCTGGCACAAGGTGCTCCGGGGTGGCCGTGTGGGGGCTGAGCTGTCCCCATCGCTCCCCTCCCGGGCCCAGCAGCCGCTGCTCCGGACTCCACATCCTCAGGCGCAGCCTGATTATCTCCAATCCACATCCGACCCACCGGATAAACAAAGCGTGTCTGGTTCTCAGAGCCCAGACCCTCCCCTGGGCTTGATCACCGCTGCTGCTTACACATTCAGACAGCATTTCACACTGAGAGCATCCAGTCATTAGAGGGTCATTTGCAGGAGCTGTTAAACGCTCCGAAAGGGAGGCCGTGGTGCTAAACCCTAGCAAGACAGACTCGCGCAAAAGTCTTGAGATCTGGCTTCTTTCCAAAATAAAATCTAAGATTTTTGCCTCTTCCTTTGCAGGATAGGAACTCACTTTTAAAAACTGTTGTCACTTCAGCAGGGAAGCCAGCACAGCCACCATCTCCATCCCATGGTCACTAGCTCCTCTCCCTGCACCCAGATGGCATCTTTCTCCTCTACCCAGCCCCCTATTTCCATGGACCTTGTTGAAATGCTCTATCTTTGAGATCTCTGCCCCTCCATCATGTCTGTTTGAAATTGAGCAGTGGGTTCAAAAGTTATCGTGTGGAAGGGGAAGGCAGACGGATGACCTGGACGGTCATTCTCTTGGAAGACCGGGATGAAAAAATAAAGGCTGAGATTCCAGGGCTTTAAGGAAAACATCAAAGTGCAGAGGGCCAACAATAAAGCTGCACCACTGTGCTTATGCAAGGTATCTGCTTAAGAGGTCCACTTGGCAGGGCTTGCGCCGTGAATGGACACCTAATCTCTGGGAGCAAAAAGCTTTGCAGCCTGTCTCTTCTAGGAGGCCAATACACATCAGCTGCGTGACAGAGGCCCTCAGCCGCAGCTGTCCTTACACAGCACAGTAAAGCAGGGAGACTAGTCCCAGCCTCGGGCCCCTGCTCCGGCAGTCATCGCCCAGGGTTCAGCACCCCCTTTCCAAGGGGCGATCTCTGCGGCGGGCAGCACGACCAGGGCTCACGCTGCCAGCACAACTACTCAGCACCATGAGGCCCAGGTGCTGCTGGGGCAGCGGCAGCTAAACACAGCATAGTCCATAGGGACATGGAGCCTTTTGCCCCTCTCAGATCAAGAGTGAGGACCCCTGGGCTTCTGCATCTGTTACTCACGCTGAGCTCACAATGCACCACCAGAGGAAGGGCCAGCAGAGATTACAGCTGGCACGCACAGCCAGAGCCTGCTCGTCTCCCCATTTAGACAGATCTCTCAGGAGCCTAATCCAGGCAGAAGGGACTTGTTTAAGCACTAGTTTCTCAGGAGGTTCGTGGGAGTTTCGCTACAGAGCAGAAACACTGCAGCGAGTGTTCGGGGAGCGGAATACCTCTGCACTCCCAAATGAGGTGTTGGAGCTGGCAGAATCCCTGCTTTTGGAGCAGCTGCCTTGATTTTACTATGAAAAGCATCCTTACATGCTGGGATGGGAAGGAGAGAGCCTTTGCAATGCAGGGGAGGTTTCCTGAAAGCAGGGAAAGGACCCCAACCATAACAGGAGCACTGCCTACCAAAGCTGTAAGACTTAGGAGTGCAAACAGCAAAGGCCCAGAGACCACTCCGAGCTCGCAGCAGCCTCGGGCCAGCTGGAATTAGGATGGAGATGGGCTGGGAAAGCCCTCTTCACCCTGCCTCCAGCAGGACTGCCAGCAGCACAGACCCCCAGATTCCTTCCAGCTTCCCTTTGCCACGCGCACGACCAGATGCTAGTCGTGGCCCTGTCAGCGTTACAGCCCCTGCTCTCACTCTGGAGAGTGAGCAAGCTTGAAGCAAGTAAGAGTGCTATCTTCTGTGATCCATTTTACACAAAGGGCCTGCCAGCAACCAGAAGCAAGTTGCTACCACCACCTGCCTGTTGTACAATCACATCCATGCCTTGGGAGGAATAGCACAAGCTCAAGGAGGGGAAGATAAGCACAGTTTATTTTTTTCTCACTCACTCTTTCCTCATGCATCCAAACAGACTGAAGCACTTATCAAAAGCACAAGGGTAATATTTGTACAAATGGTTGATTAAGGCACTAGCTAGGTTATTATGAGCCCAGTGACCAGGACACGGATGAGGACAGAGGCACTCAGGGCTCACTGCTCTGCCCTGCTCAAGATGAAAGGAGGCAGAGAGAGGAAATGCAGTGGTGACAAAACCAACACTCATCCCCTCGGACCTCCACAGAGCGTCCCAGCTGTGGGAGGCAGTCACCGACTGCTGCTTCACCTCCCACTATGGGTGGCAGTTCAGGGAGGGCAACAACGCAGCAATAGAGTAGGGGCTCAGCCTGGGACACAAGCAGTTTCACAGCCTTTTAGTGGAAGGTGGCAGACAAGTGACAAGCCCCAGAAAAGCAGGGATCTACTCTGAAAATCAGTAGCTAGTCTTTAGGCAAGCTTGGAGCACTACAAAAAAGTGCACCCATGAGACAGATCCAAAAAGCCCACGCAAAGGACACAGTATCAGCTGGGGATACAACAAAGGCAGGCAAGACTAGGAAGGGAGCACTGCTTTCTAACCAGAGCAGGTGATGCTGAGACCACAGGCTCTCTCAGCTTATGGACACAGGAGGAGGCGAAGCTCAAAGCACAAACGTGGAATAAATTACACCAGAGCAGATGCATATGAACAAGCGTCACTTAGTCGTATCATGTGTTCACAGCTTTTGTAAAGATGGGACAACTTGCTTCCCCCCCAGCTAATGTATTCATGTGTCCATGGCCTCAGGGCCACAGAAACTGGGGATCCAGCAGGGATTCTGACCCTCAAAGACCTCATTTCACACCTGGCCAGGTGCTGCACAGGATGCTTTCCCTCTTTCTGAATTATCAGATATGAACCACTCTTGGAAGCAGCCAGAGCTTTGATGATCACACCAGATCTACATATGCACTCAAGTACCAATGCATAGACATCATGGACACAGACAAAATACTTAACACTCACAGGGTAACTGAACATACAGTAAGTATTTTGAGTATGGGGGAGAAGAGAGTTTACAAGTATTGCATCTCATAATAGCTGACAGTCATTCAAAAAAAGCCACAGCAGTCACTTTCATACCAAGGCTTCTGTTCATGTTCGGGTCGCTACTGGTCAACAACTCACAGCAAAAACAAAGCAGCATATCTGGAATAAGCTTACTTATTTCCAGAGAGCCATCTGAATGTGCTCTTTTTCTCCACTGTGGCATAGCCCTTAGCTACAGGATGCACCCTTGGTGGTGGCACACACATCCGTGGTCTTTCCACTGTGTTGGTACCTCATTTGTTCTAAGAGGCATTTAGAAAGGCACAGGACGTTGTCCAGGAGCTGCAGTCAGCTTTAGGAGAACACAGCTCTCGCAAACCAGGTCAGGTAGAGCCACTGGCACCATATTCCTTATGGAAATCTCATCCCAGGGTAAATATACCAGTACACTACCTCATAAAGGGAACAGTGCAAGCCCATTAAGCAGACAAAAGCCTGCACAAAATGTAAAGAAAGTGCCAAATCTAACAGCTGTTTTGTTAATAGCAATTCTCAGCATTTGTCTGCTAACATCTCAGTTTTCATATGCGAACCAAGTGTCTTAGCTGTGGAAATTCAACTTACATAGCCAGTCTCCCCCCAAAAAAACAAACACAGCAGGGCTTAGCTGCACAGAAAGCTTTAACATTTCCATTACTTAAAAGATAGCTAAAGCTTATCTGTTTTGGATGGAGTTGTTATTGTGGAAGATTATTTCAGGATAGTAAGAAGGGACAAAAAAATCCTCCTGTTACGCCCTTTTAACAAGGGCACAACTTAGTTGTAAACCCAGGCTCAAGCATTAACTATGAACATTGTTAAGGGCAGAGTAGGAAAACAAGCTTCAGTACCGAGTTAGCACATGTACTTAGAGCAAAGGGGAAAAAAAAAGTCAACTTTCTACTGTTTTTTTTCCCCCTCTCCACAGTCTACCCCAAAATGACCAACTTTAGGCAAGTTAACTTTAAAGAAAACTTACCATGTTAAGCTAAACTTCTACCATATCTCCCCAGAAACAAAGCAGGGGAGTTCTGAAGGGCAGTTTGATTATCTGGCATCAGTGGGAAACGACCAGAGAGCAGAACTACTATGAGAACATATGAACCTGATCAACTGCTGTACAGGACACTCAGCCACTGAAGTAATGAAGCTTAGTATTATTGCTAAAATATTTTTCAGGTAGAAATAAAGACAAGCCACTCCCAGCTGCAAGTTGCAATGCACATTCTACCAGTGATAGCAACTTCTCACTAAATGCACACCATAGCAAAACCAGGCAAATGCTATTTTGAGTTGCAAAACACTGATAAAAACACTTGAAGGCAATAAATTTGAATCTGTTCCCATTAAGGTTTCAGAGAAACACTTACAAATCTCACCTTAAAAATGCAAGTTTATCTGCATCATTTGCTTTGTTTTTGTTACTTCTTTTTTAAAGGCTTGCAGATCATAATGTAGCAATTGAACTTAATTAGCAGATATTTAAATATTATCAGCCAAGACTGATTTGAACAGACATTCACTGTCTTTCAGGAAATCCAAGGTTCAGGCCATGTCCTAATGGGCTTGCTCCTTCTTTGAAAGGCCTCCTCAAACACCACTAGTACAAAATGCCTCCATCAGCAACATTACTAAAACACTAACACAAGCAGCACATTGGAGACTGCTGAGTAATACACATTTGTTAAACTGCACCAGGACCAGAAATGCAAATATTTTTGGGGGGGGGGGAAGGGAAAAGCTATGTTTAAGTCTCCCATGGGAGAGTTAGGTTCTCAAGCATTAGCTTTCTTACTCAAAAAGAAATCTATTCCCAGCATCCCAGTTAAACCCCTCTTCTTTAGAGAAGAATTAGAGATCTTAATCTCTGCCCTCCAAGTTACAAAAAGGAGGGGAAAGACCTTTAAAGATGAACAAAAATCTTAGCACAGAGCAGAAAAACAGTAGAAAGCATTACATTTAAGAACTTACTTGTATGCTGGAAGAGATCAGCTAGTTTGGAAAAGTAGGAGTGGCAGCACAGAAACTGAAGGCTCAGATGTTTCCCTAGCAGGGGCTGCTAGGGCAGTAGAAGGCAGCTCAGAGCAAGGGGACCCTCTCTGCAGGTGGCTCCTGTTGAGCAAATTCAAGCCTCTTCCACCTGTGGCCTGCTGAAGTCCTGCACCCCATCTGGGGACAATTAGTGGAATAGGAGCCTAGGGACACCTGTGACATGACCCAGCAAAAGAACTAGCTGGAAGCACACCATGAACAGTTTTGATAACTATTTCTAGAAGCAAATTCATAAAGCACACTGAAACTTCCTGCAGCAACCTGATGTTACACATGGTACATACTCAAACATTTTGCAAAGAGGGCTTAAACACATCTTAATGCAGCCTGTCTTTTGTGGGGGAAGAGAGACACTGGTGCTCACCATTGCATGTTGATCTCAAGCCTGCACACAGGACCACTCTACAGATTTTTCCCTGCCACAGGTTAGTAGTTTTCTTGCCAGAATGAATAAAGGATAGAAGCCCAGTTTATTGCATTAAACCTCATACCAGGAGACTCAAAATGATTTTTATTTCTCCCATATATTGCATTTGTTACTTTTACAGTAATACAATGATTAACAAAAGCATAAAACTGGAAACAAAAACAATCATTGAGAATGTCTCCTCCTGCACTCTGTGGCCCTTCGCCAGCAGGGGCTGTACTTGTGTATCTGCACCCACACAGAGAGGCTGAGATTCAGTCCTTGTAACAGGATGCATTCTTTCTCAGAAGTGAATGAATTGCCCTTCCCAGGAAGGCACTCAAAACATGGGCTACTCTAAGCCTAGCTGGTGGGAATCCTCAAGGCAAGGTCCAACTCTTCACTGGATAAGCACTCTCAGGCCATGTGCTTTAGATGTCCATGTCAAACTGCTCTTCCTCACCTGTTGAGAGGGACAGGAAAACATTAAAGTCCCACATTAAATGCCAAATACTGCACTGAAGTAACAGTGTTCAACTGTGCCTCAGAGAAACATGACAGTTTGGTCCTAAAGTATGCAGCAGATAAGCTAAAGCTGCTTTCAGGCACCAAGTCTGAGAACAAAACTGTCTTGGGTAAGCAGACACGTTTCTGCCCCTAGAGGGAATATTTTACTCATGTAGAGAGAGCAAAGGGAAAAGGTAGAGGAGATACCCCTTGTGGAACAAATTTATACCCCTGAATTCTCCTGTAAAAAGAAACAATGCTATTGACAAAGGATCACTGGGACAGACTTCTGTTAAAGACAAATGTACATTTCACAGCTCATTGCATGAGCCATGGCTACAGTCATACAGATAATTTGATAGGATGCTAGTGTGAGCAGAGATGATCTGTTCCAGAGGACAGGGCTTCTTTGGAAAAAAGGTCACAACCAAACTGTCATCCAGCATGCAGACCACACTTCAGTTCAACAGAAAATCAGCTGAGCTGTTAAAGGTCACAGCTGTGTGTAATAAAAACCATTAAGCAGTATTGATCCTAGAAAGATTTTGCTTAGAGCATGGAAGCCACTTAATGAGTACTCAAGTTATTTTATATTTAGGAAGGGATAAATTGTAGTATCTGATATTTTTGGCTACTCCAGGAAGGAGTCTCACATAAACACTTTTTAGCCATTCAAGAGCAATGTTTGCTCATTTTACTTCTAGCATGCCTTTCAACAAGAGTCCAAGTCCACAAAGTAGCCAGTGACCCCTGTTCTCCTGTGCCTTAACCTTTATTTTGCTCTTAGGCACACTAGCAAGCTTCCATAGAAGCCACTAGAGCCAACAATGGATATTCATATCCTACCTATATAAATTGAGTTCATTTGTACTCCAGAAGCCTTGACATCAAGAAATCAAGAGAAACTTCTATCTCAGGCTGGTATCCAAAAAAGCCCCCAAACAAATTGTAGAGTTGTAACCTGATCATTTTCAAAAATGCAACGCCACTGCAAAATGGCACAGGATATCTACAAGCAGAAACAGCTACACTCAATTTCTCTCATCAAAGGACTATTAATCCAGTAGCATTTAGGAAAACACTAAGTTAATGAGAATAAAGTGATAGCATGACACAGATAACTTACTGAAAAGTATTCACATTACTAGGGACCATATTAGAACCTACAGTGAATAATATCAAGCTCCACAGCACTCTGATTTTGCAAGAAATTATCAAAACATTAACCCTAGTTCACAGGGATCAGCTGGCTGCATCCCATGTGTAAACTTTCGTATTCCTCGGAAACAGCACTGTACTTCACTTGTTTATGTGCACTTACCTATGCTTGCTTTCTCATCATAGCTCTGGACATGGTTGTTTTCAATCTTTAACTCCTCCACATTTGGGCTTGTAACACCTGGAATGTCCGGAAGGTCAGAAGGTGGTGTTTTAGCAACCGGAGAATTGCGGCACTCCATCAAAAACTTGCGATCATAAATAATTCTGGTACCTATTGAAAGAAGATATAACACTGTCAGTTTTTAGTATTTTGATGCATTTTAGTATTTTGATGAAAGAGATGGCTACGATATTTGGGTAGTCAAGGTTACTGGATTGTTCCTCAAGTACTAAGCCAGGGGAAACATTCCCTTAGAGAGATCTGCCTGGCTTGGATTTCAGATCATGAACTCTGGGTATCCAAATCACAGCTATATACGTAAAGCAACAGCAGAAGTCATTTTTAGAAAGATACTTGTTACATAGCACTCACTGCTCATTTCAAGCTACCTCAGAAGAAAGTCAGATACCATTAACACCGTTTATAGCTGCAAAAAAAAAAACCCACAAGAGTCAGCCACCCAAATAATAGCTTTGCTACCAGTCTGCTGCAGGGAGAGAACAACTCCCAAACCTAGTCCAGTGCTGCATCCAACAGGTCTGACCCATTCTGCCTAACATGAGGTCATAGCAAAAAAGAAAGAAAACTGAGTTGTCAGGGGCTGAGAACTGTAGGCAGATACAAGCATATGTATCAAACAATAGGAAGTGGCAGGGTGTCTTTGTCACTGAGCATTGTTTAGCAAAAATTTCTACAGTTACTGCCTTTATGTACCATGTGCTGACTGTCCAGCTTAATTATGTATACCTTTCCAAAAAAAGCTTTAATACAGACAGTCCTTAATGCCCATCTGTTTTAATGGTGAATCCAGACCACATCCTTCTCCTCCTGCTTCAAACGGAGGAAAACAACTTCAATGGATTAAAAACAAGCCTCAGAGGGAACAGCCGAGTTGAAACTCCATGCACAGATTGCTAGGTACGCCACTAGACTGAACAGCCTGTTCTTTACAAAGGAACTGGTGTTGGAAAAGCTCAAAGCCACAGAAGAAGGATCCCTCCAAATAAACCACAATCTTAACCCAGAAAGTACTGAACAACAGCTGTTGTTCCCATCCCCAAAAGTAAGGCTGCAATGCCCCTTTCCAGATTAGACCCTTTCTATTCTACTTCCACTCCAGTCAGAAAGAAAACCAACTTCTCAAACTCCCTGAAAAGTTTTAGGTAGAAGTCTACACTTGTGCAGGGAAATAAACTTGCCTTTTTTTATTTTGGAGCATGGCTAGAAAGCAGATAGGTATTAGGAGGTTTTGCTAATGAGTTCTCAAAACACTAGCCTTCTCAGGAACAGGTTTTGGATTTGTTTCTCCAGATCAAAGGAGAGAAAACTAATCCAATTTAGAAGCATGTCCCAGCAGTTAGTCAGGATTTGAGAGAAGGAACAATCCCAGTCTGTTAGTTAAGTGTTAAGTCACTGGAAGGTTTACAAAGGCAAGGGTGGTACTTCCTAGAACTGCAGTTCACATACTAAGTACTAGGAGTACATTTCATAACAGGCAGACAAGAACTTTCACTCCTGGTTTGAATTCATTCCCTCAGTCACATGCCCAGAGCTATGCTTATGAAACCAGATACCCTGTACCAAGCCAAAGCAGAATAGCCAACAACAGCTGTCAACAGGAGCATAGCTTGACAGACGCTCCACATCCATAAACAGACCCCTTCCAACTCACAAAGCAGGGCTAACAGCAGCTCTCCTCCCACTGTAATGAGTATTTAGTATTCACAGAGCACACAAAGGCTTTGCACCCCGGGAACTGTGCTGCTCCCCGAAAGCTCTGGTTTTAACACCTGACCATCTCTGTGCTATGCAACTGGAAGGTCAGAAGGGGATTTAGCTCATTTTGAATATTCTCATCAGAACTAAGTTGGATGGAAGCATCCTAGTAAAAATACCATCCTGTTCTTCCCTTGCCAGAGGCCTTTACAGAGCACAGGCACAGTGAGCTGTGCTGCTCCATGAGTGACCAAATGCCTGTTGAAAGGGTCACTGCCTCCACAGCAGAGTCAGCAGGACTGGCAGCGCATCAGTCCCTCAGCACCAGGGTCCTCATCAGATGCATCATCATAACAAGCTGCCACTGATTTCAAGCATGGCACATTCAAACTCTGCACTGGGCCCACACAGCCTGTTCCACTGAGACCAAACACTGCACTGCCCCCACCAGTTTTGTCAAGAGAAATAGCAACTTCTAAAACCACACTGGAAAGAGCTGCTGGAACACTCAGCCAGCAGGTAGTGCATTGCAGGCACTCCAGAAAGCTATGGAGCAACCCAACAGGCTTCAGCTGACACAGGTTGGAGCACTGACTACAAAGCACAGCTGTCCAGAAAGCCTGACAGAACTGTGCAGAGCTGGAAGCTTACAAAAACCAGAGTGACCATCCTAACAGAGCAGTATACCCCCCTTCAGGAAGGGCAGAGCGCTTCAGCAAGAGGAACCTTATTCAGAAGGCAGCTCAGCACACTATGAACACAAGCAGGAACACCACCCCATCAGCATTGCTCATTTCAAGCATAACAAGCAAGATAGCTCTTCCTGTGTTTTTTTTGCTTGCAATGGATGGAGTTGGCCAAACTCCCAAGCTATGAGTTCATGTGGAATTTACTTAAGGAAAGACAATGTGTGCATGTGCCTGCAGCAAGTGGGCAAGAAGCCTAGAAAAGCAAGAATGGAGTATTAATGAGAACAGTCTCTTTATGCTTAAAGGTCACAGAGCACCTCTTACACACTCTTCCTTGCTCCTTTATATTTGGTGGTTTTCTTCTCTGTTGACTGCTGCAGTAAGAACAGCAGTCTACTTCCTGCACCGCCAAGGGAGAGGGGAACTTCTTCATTCTGCCACCCCTCCAAAGGGGGCCACAGAGCCCAGAAAGGTCTGGGAAGGTAGCTAAACAAGGAAAAACCACTCCTTTTGCCCAAGTGCTGGCACCAGCTCAGGAGCAAGAAACTGTGGTGAAGCTCAGCTGACTCACATCAAAACCACAGTGAGCCTCCCTGCTCTTCTGCTGCTGCTGGGATCAATAGTGACACTTTACAGAGCATCACAATGTAGGCTTGTTTGCTTCTCAGAGGGATCCTTTCTATTCATAAACTGCATTTTAGGCTGTCACTTCAACGCTTCTGGTGACTCAAGGCAAGCAAACTACCTGAAGAACTTTACCTCAATGTCGGGCAGAAGGAAAAGTCCTTGAGGAAAAAAGGCCTTTTGACTGCAAGCAGACACAGAGAGGAAGGTAATGGAAAAAAAGCTGATCTACAAGCATCTGATGACTAGAAAAGCAAGTATACCCCCACTTTTTCTAAAGGAATAAATTTAGCTGCTAGATAAGCACGGCTCAGCATAGTGTAGCTGTGAAGGTACTACTGTATCAAAAGCCTTGAATAAAATATTTTTGTTTCTAATAAACATAGAAGTCTGCATCCTTCCAGGAACTCAGTAGTAAAGCTGAGAAATTAAGTTCTAGTACCAGCCCTTATCAACTCAGATTCCTTCTGGTCCATAAGTGGATTTTTCTAACACTAGTCTTCCCCAGGGGAAGAAGCATACATCAGATTTGCTTCAAACTTAAGAAAGCATAACATTGTTTAAAACCCAAACATTGGTAAATCCAGAAGACATAAGCTCCAGAAATTTCTGTGGACACTTCCACTTCAAAAGGAGCTTCCCTGCACCCCATTAGCACACTAGACCCAAGAGAAGCAATCACTGGCATTAGCATTCAGCACTGCTACTGTGGATTTCTAGTTTTGGCACCGAGCCTCCTTCACACCACTTACAGCCACAGTTCTGCTCACAGCCAGTGGAATGACTTCAGAGCTCAGTGCTCAATTTCTCACTGAAAAAAAATCAGTCTGAGGTTTTGCATGACAAACTTAATTTGCTTCTTTCTTCCGACTCTTGAGATTTAATCTATTGCTTGCAGGAAATCTCAGATGTTTTTTCAGTGCACTACAATATCTTGTTAAATATTTTCAATAGAAGGATTTAAAGCAAGTGTTTCTGAAACACAAGCTAAGTTATTTCACAGCAGTCAGGGCTTACATGAAAAGAGTGAAGTATTCTGCCCAAGAGAATCACTGGATGTGTGGATTAGCAGAAGAACAGATCAACAGAGGCACTGTCTCAAAAGCAGAGTTCTCCAAGTTCAAGTTGGCCTGCACCCAGCATATTTAAAGGGACATTGACTTAACTGACAGCAGTTCTGGTGTATACAAAGATTAAAACACAACAGGGGATGAAGACCTATGAGAAACTACCTACAGCAATAAGACTCAAGCTAAAAGATAACATGCAGAGTATGTTAGCATGGGTCTAAACTTCTGAAAGGTACAGATATTTATTCCCCCAAGAGCTCTTCCAGACTACGCAGAAGAAGGAATTCTTTACAATGCTAAAAGTGAAGGAAGACTAGCAACCTAGAGGCTAGCGTTCTCTGGGATTTTCATCGTACCTCCTTTCAACAATAGTCATTCCACATCTGACCTGAAGGCAGAGCCTGCAGTTGGGCCTTAGAAGAGTGAGTTGTCTTCATATAGGTTGAGGAGGGACTAAACGTACCAAGAGAGTCACGAGAGCTCTGTGGATTTTGCCAGATGTGCACACCCTAACAACAAACACAATCCATATTTCTACTTCACACTCTAGACATTCATTAACCATTTCCAACACAGACAAACAGATGATAATCCTGGAGGCTCTCATTATGCTACAGAGCAGTGCAAGTGTTCAACTTCTATTCTGTTACTTAGAGCACATGAATACAGCTGGGAAGCATTAACTCTAATTCTTCTTTCATGACAATTGCTGCAAGTCCTACTTAAGAATTTCAGCTAGTTGCTGCTTTCAGAGAAAAAGCATGTGTCAAAAATAACACTAGCTTCAGTTCCCCAAACTTTTCTGCATAAACTCAAAAAAGAAATGAGTCAGCAATGTTGACTTCCCTCTTCTTCCTGAATTTTTTCAGCCCACAAAATATTATAGGCTATAAAGATCAGTAGGTCAGAAAGTTTAGCAAAGTGACATCTACTGCCTTCCATTTAGTTTGCTCCTTTGACAAACTCAAG